GTTTCATTTCCATTCAATGTGTCTCTCGTCTTTCTTTCCTTAATCAGTCTTTTTCTCTCTTCATCCCTCATCTGCTCTTTTTTTTCTCTGTCAGTGTCATTCCTTTTTCCTTTTCCTGTCTAACTTCTTGTCTTTTTCTACCTCCACTGTCAAATGTTTGGGAGCTTGCCTAGATAATGGAAATCAAGGACCAAATGCAGGAGTTTTTGTTTTTCCCTATAAGTCGCTTCCCCATCTTGCTGATCTTTTCACATAATGACTTTATCTATTTCATTTAGCAAAGCTACATCATCCATCAACATGTCATAATCAATTCTCGTCATTTTCTCCTTGCCCTTTCCACAACTCCATTTTTCTCTACAGTAGAATTTAAATTACTCCCTCATTAGTTTGGATGCCCAACGTAGTAATTATGAGAAAGATATCACACAATCAGGATCAAAAAGTAACAAGTGCAGCAGGATATAACTGGCTTGAGCAATAAATATGTACAGCTAATGCACCACTATCAGTTTTCCTAAAATCATGAAGGAAAAAAATAATATTAAATTTCATGTGCATGTTGAAACAGTTTGAGGAAAACATTTTTGAGAGTATTTTTTCCTCTACTGTTTTATACAGTCGATTTGTAAAGAGAACAGCACATTAAGTTGTATATGAAGAAAATGTAGACATACATAGTGACAACATATAGATTGCTCGTGTTAAATTATTTTATGATGTGTCTGAACAGTGAGGAGTGCAAAGCTGTCTTACTCACAACAAAGAAAGGACATGGAAGCCTCCTTGTTTCTTTATGACAAACGGATTGGACCATGTCTGGGAAATAAACGTGTCAGAAGGAAAAACAAAGGCCATTTTCAAGGTCTTTTTTGAACTAAATAAGTGCACTTACGGGTAAACTAGCCTATGAAAGAAATCTATGGGCTTCTTGTGACACATAAAAGTGTCACTTCTTAAATGTGCAAGGATTTTGTTTATGCAGTTTAGCAAAGAACAAGGATATGCAGTACCTTGCAAAAAGGGTTGTACTTGAATTATTTTCCATTTTATGACTTTAAAACAACCAGTTTTCAATGTGTGATTTAAAGTGATTTTTCAACATGAGGTGCTTAAAATACAAATAAAGTAAAAAAGTATAGACATTAAACATTTTTCACAAATAGGATTTGTGGCCGTAGCTATCGCTTCATTCAACTGACATTTGCTACAGCTTTGCTGGAAAAGACATACCCATGAAAAAATATGTCTCTAAACATATTTTTTTACATTTAGAGACCATAAAAAATATACTCTGTTACAAAATAACTCATTCAGATTATATGGAGAGCAGATGTGCTCTTCAAGACTTTCCAGATTATGATGTTTGGATTGGACTTTGAATGAGATATTCGGCCCTATCAGGTCTCTTTGTTTTTCTTTATCTTCTCAAAACTGATGTATTTCAACACACATGGTTGTAAAGACTGCTGGTGGATCAATTTGTTGTTTATTTCAAATGTGTGCCTAAGTGTTTTCACAGTGGCAACCTGCTAACTGTGTTTTGGATATATGCTCTTGGTTCATCTTTTCTCCCTTTTACCGCCTCTCCTATTTTGCTCCTGAAGTTTTCCTCATTTGTGGCTTTCCCTCCTTACTCTTTTTTCCCGTCCACTCGTTATACTTGCAGCACATTAAAGCGTAACTGTAGTTGCTTTTGTTACTTTAGGGCGGTCGGTAGAACTTTTTCTTTTTTTCCCCTCTTACATCATGTCTCCTCTTCCCTTAGTGCACCATTTTCCCCTCTTCTTTTATTTTTGTTACTATTGCTAAGGTTGCCTTTAGTAACAAAATGTGCAGAGGGCTAAAGCTGATGTAATACATGCGCATACTGAAGGCTACACGCTTATCATTTTTTTTTTGTTTTATGTTGCTATAAAACTGATTTTGTTGAAAGGGACCATTGATCTACTTATTTCCCTCCTTTTATCTCATTTACAGAACTTTTGAATTAGCTCTTTTCCCTTGGTAATACATAAGAATAATAACAAAATTGTAAAGGGGATAACTGTAAAATTCTATGATTTATCTGATAAATATCATGTGCATGAGAATACATTTTCTTCCTGGAGTGAGGTTTAAGACTTTGGACGAATTTGGAAAAACGTCTCTTTGTAACTCAATGAACCAGTTTAGCAACATTAGAGACTATTAAAAACACACATTTTGATATTGTGTCAAAAATCTTTGAAAGGATCATAGATGGCCCTTTGAACATATAAGATTGAGTGTAAAGTTATAAAGTCTGGTCAAAGTTGCATTCTGTTTTTAAAAACTATCAGGCAAACTAAAAAGTCATGTAAGCAGATTATCAGTTTTGATTCTCACAAAAAAATACAAACAAAAACATGGATATGCCAGGTTTTAACCCAATAATGATAATGTGGAAGCAATTTTAATTACCAATCTGTGTATTTAGACTTTTAGTGAATTAAATTCAATATTGTTTTGAAATTTAGATCAAGCACATCAATTATATCACATTAATCTCTTAAAGAAGCGTCAGTGCAAGCTTCTAGTATTATTGGTAATTTAAGATGTTAGTTTTTATTAAATTCCTTATTGTTTATTTCTTGACTTCTCAGTGTCGTCTTTTACAAATTGTGGCCATGATTCACTTCCTTTCAGGCTGCTTGTCATTGTTCTCTTTCTCACAGTGATTGGCAGGAGCATGTCAAAAAGACCATTAAGTAGACCATAGCAAATCTAATTATATGTCCTCTGCAACCTCTCCTATTGATTGTGTTGATGCCGGCGTCTTCTGTCTTCCATCTGCTCCAACTTCCTGTAGATATGCTTCATGTGGAACAGTTTGAGCTGCTCTGCTACGAAGAAAAATAGCTGCTGGTTATTTATGTCTTCTTCCAAAGTTAAATAAGTAAATATTTCAATACTTATGAAATAAAGTGTAGGCAGACATTTTATTAGAATCCAACTCAACTCCCTCTCCTGATATAGCCGTGACATTGCTGTGGAACAGAAACGGGAAATACGCGAGTTACTACTTAATGAAAAAGTATACACTTTTGTCAAAGTTGCTCGATCTTTCAGTGGATGTTTATTAATGGAATCACAGACAAATGTGACATGTGAAATAGAGTTTACTCTCATGAAAAGAAGAGTGACACATTTGCCAGAATCTGAAACTAAGGAAAACACTTTTTTTTGTCAGTGGTTCCCGTTGTCATAGGTTATTTTTTATAGCAATGCAGCCATAAAGCACTTTGTGGTTTCCATACATAAATTGACCAGAAACTCTAAAAATAAACTGTTCCAGATTTTGTGTTTTCTCTCAAAAAGATTTCATAAATAATACAGAGAGCCACTGAAAAGTGTGACTACACACACAAAAAAACACATTCTTCATTTTTCTCCTTTCTTGTTGTCTTTAATTTTTTTTTGTTTTGAATTTCATATTCTCCAAAGGAAACAACTGGATATTGCAATGACATGAAAGCACACTTCAACAAATAATTTTAACTTCTTTGAACAAATATTTCAAATGCTGGATTAACCTGGTTGCTGAATTTTTCACACCTTTTGCTCAAGCACTTTTCATTCGGTTCTTTTTTGGCAGGATTCTATGTCCATACCACATCTTGACTTGGCCGTATTTACCCATTCGCCTTTCCAAATATCGTTGAAGCTCTTGTAAATAGCCGACCCCACAGTTTCCCATCAGATTTTTTCCGTAGCCAGGCTCAGTCGTTACAAAACGTTGATCTTCTTTTGATAAAGCCCTTTTTTTGTTGGACTGGATGCATGCTTGAAATCACTGTGGTGCTGAAAAATGAAATCCTTCCTCATCTTCAGCTTTCTGTCAGATAACCACAAGTGTTGGGTAAAAACTGATTGGTATTTCGAGCTGTTCATGATTGCATTTAAGTCAAAACGTCCAAAGAAATCAAGAGATTGTCAACACATATGGAGTACAACCATTGCTTTGTTCTTTGGCTTCTTGGCAGCCTCCCTGAGCACATAAATAATGTAAAGGAGCAAATGTCAGTATAAGCCTGGGAGGAAAGCCAATTAGACGTTTTTCAGGTTATTCAGAATCACTCTGGATGATGTACCCGGGAAGATTAAACTAAATTAAAATGTGAATAAAACAAAGTAAAGATGTGTATAACTGTGCTACCAGGCTGTTGCTGCTTGGTATTTTTCTTTTTATTTATTTTTTTTCTTTAGTTTTGAAGTTTGAATGTGGACAAAATATTTCTAAATGAAAGCAGAAAAATGATTAACGTTGATTTATCAGGTTTCAGTTTTTCCACATCCCATAAACTTGAAATACGTAACAGGGGTGTGCTCTCCTTTGATACACTGATGGATGTGCTGACAGCAAAGGACTATCATGTGACAGAATTCCCCTTTTCTGCTCTGCATCCTGATTACTGTGTCTCCTGCTGTTTGTGAAGCATATAAATTGAGAACATTTTTCACAGCAGTAGTCGATACTTCTTAGATCTATAATGGTGCAATCTGTAATTACATGGCAGTTTTTTCCTCCAACCATTTTCCGGCACTCTGTGTGCTTTCCTTTGTACCAAGAGTTGAAATATTTGAAGATGGTCTTTCATTCGAAACTAAGACCTCTTAGCTTCCACCCCTACCTTCAAGGAGGGTTTATTCTTCTGTCTAAGCTTTTGCATCATATTCACCATTACAGAAAATGGTCAAACCACGCTGCACAACAATGACATATGTTCTATACATTGGAGAATATAAGGGCTGTGCTTTTGTGTCCAAGAGGTGGATTCTGTGGAAAAGCTTAAGTCTTGCTTTTAAGGGTTTAGTTTTCCTTTTTCTCATCTTGTTCTGTATTCTGAAAAATTACAGTCTTTCACAAAATTCAGTTTAATTCCAGATATTAATTAAATGAATTTTAACTTTGCGTCTGTTGACCACAAGGGATTTTGCTTTGTTTTTAATTCCAAATTATTATATTTGTATTCTTCCAGGCTGACAGGTACAACTCTTCCCTCACCAGTGATATCGAATAAAAACTGGCTTCGGATACATTTCACCTCAGACAGCAATCACAGAAGAAAAGGATTTAGTGCTCAGTATCAAGGTATGTTAAAATTTTTCCATTTTTATGATGTCGGTTTTCGAACTTCTTGGTGTGCAAGGAGAGGGGTACAAAAATGTAATCTTTAAAAAAAACAAAACATTTTAAGCAGTTAGATTTAGTTAAGTATTAAGAACTACAAATAATTACTTAGAAAATGTGCAGTATATGATTTTAAAGTAATTCTACTATGTGCTTAATCCAAGTGCCATTAGCAAGTCTTAAACTTCAGCAGCAGAAGATTTACCAATTTGTTGCATCACATCCTTCACACATGTGGCTGGTTTTCTTTCAGATACGCTGCAGTAACCTTTTTGTTAACTTAAAAATGCAAGTGTCTATTTTTAAGGTTAGTTTAAATAAACATGAATATATTTTTAATTCCACATTTAAAAACTTCTCTTCCAACATTATTTGACCATAGCATATAGAAATATATTTTACAGCTGCAGAATGTAATTTTATAAAAAAAAAAAAAATAAAAAAAAAGTTTTTTTTAACATATTTGTTAAAACAGACAGCTCCTTGGTTTAAATAATAGGCTTGGTTTTTTCTCCCCTTAAGAATAAACACCTTAATTAAAAACTGTATTTTGTTTTTACTAATATTTAAATTTGTTTGATGTTCTGAAACACTGAAGTGTGACAAAAAAAAAAAAAGAGAACAAAACAATACAGAATGGGGCTATCCGTTGTGCTTTTGACGTTATTGCATGCTAACTTCAACATGTTAAAATGATGATAAATCGTGGCATATTACAGTTAAATTAATTACTCTGTGTTGAAAGCATTAGATGAAGGCTGGATGTCCTAAATCACAGGACTTGCTAAACTTTTTATTGTTATATAATAATGTTATAGTTTGGCATTAGCACTAGCATTAGCATTCGAAAGTGCATGTTCCTGGTCAGGTTTAATTGGTTTCACCTATCACATGCAACCAGATGAACCAAATCCTGTCTGTCTTTCAGGCTAACTGATGTCCTTTCTAGGCTTGTTTCCTTTACTCTTTCTCTCTTTTTCTTAGCTATCGGTCTGTTGCTCTTGCCATCGGTGCTTTTCTTTATGTGTGTGTGTGTGTGTGTGTGTGTGTGTGTGTGTGTGTGTGTGTGTGTGTGTGTGTGTGTGTGTAGAAAACAGAGAGTGAGAGAGAGAGGGAGACGGAGAGGAAGAGAGAGAGTGAGATGTGTTTTCATGCCAAGCCTGTCTCTCAGTGGAGTTTAGTTTGGTTGTAACACAGATTTTTTCCGTTATCCTCTGCAGTGGTGCCACTTAAGATAAAATAGATGGAATAAATTTTAATGACGCTCCTTTCCCACTTTTTCTCCTGACTTTTCCTGGTTTTTTTGAATTGATTTTCATATTTTCCTTTTATGCTTTTCACATTTTACCACCACAGTATAAACTGTATGCTAGATATGACATTGATCATAAGACGGGATTATTACACATTGGTGAATTGGAGCAAATGGCACCCTGGGGGTAAAGAAAAGTGGTGTAGGAAAAAGACGTACAGCAATTGAAGTTTAATGGAGTATGATTTATAATTAACCGTATAACCCCCTTTTCTTCTTGTCTCTGCAGTGAAGAAAGCCATAGAGTTGAAGTCCAGAGGGGTAAAGATGATGCCCAGCAAAGACTCCAGTCACAAAAATGCTGTCTGTAAGTACTCTATTACCGCCAATTTTATTATGTCTGATATTAGATAATCTTATAAATTACTCAATTTGAAACAGACCTGGCAACATGCACACACACACGCACACACTGTGCAGAAAAGAACACAAGGTGCATTTATCTTTCATGTGGCAGAGCCTGAGATTTCATCTATTTTTCAGAGAAGTTGACCTTCTTTGAGATAAGAATTAGGAGCCATTTTATATTTTTTATTATTTGTGCTGGAGCAAGAAGTATTACGTTTTTCTCAATCAGAAAAGAAACCGAGCCGTTAAAATTCCTGCTTTTCAGTCGCTCCATGCCAGCTACCAAAAACCAGACAGAGAAGTTTTCATGTAGCCTTTGCACAAAAAAACGATAAGACAGTAATGCTAGAGTTTCGCTTTAAGTAGACAAATACTGATAAAAGTATTCACTTAGTGCAAAACCAAAATGTCTGTTTTGTTCACTCATATTTTACATAAAATTGATTCAGTGGATAAACTGAGAGGCATGCATAACAAAAGTCACAGCTTAATATTATTTGCGTTAATGCTTCAAATGTCTAGGTAAGCGCCTCAAAATTCAGACAGTTTGATGCAAACAAACATATAATCACACACTGATTTATTAAAAACTAAATACCCCATTTTAGCTGTTTACACAACATTTATATTTTGAAAAATTCTCTTCTACTTGCTTGCCTTAGACACATTTTTTGGAAACCTGAATAAATTAATTTTATTGCTATTCATTTTCACCTGCTTATTGTTTGTTTTCATGTCTATAACTTAAAATTTTTAAGCCATTTTCAAGCTTCTGGGTGAAGAACGATACACAAATACAATACATAAAACACAGTATGCCATTATTTATATGCTTTATTATCTGATTTCATGGTGTTTCACAAGGGAATATACATATTACATGAAATGTCAATACACCCATGAGATCTATGAATTGTATTGCACCCATTGGTCCAGATTTTACTGCATATGTCCTTCTCTAAAGCAATTTAAGTCTTACTCCACCTGTCCAATAACGATTGTACTTTCTTCATTATGTGGAGCTGAAAAAAAAAAAAAAGGATAATGTCAGTTAACTGAGCAACCTGGGGAATCATTAAGCTTTAATTTAACTTAGTGCAATAATAATTAAAAAAAAAAAAATATGTGGCTTTGAGAATGGATCCCAAAGCTAAAAAGGCTCACATATTGGTATGGTGAGATTACCAGAGCATATATCCATGCAAAGTTAATAAGGCCTACAGTCAGGTCAACTTCTGATTTTGAACTGGTCTTTGAACATCACTTTTTGTGCGGCGCGTCTCTCCCAGTGGCAATCTAATGACTCTACAGTGGAAACTTTACTGTCTTTGTGCAATACATAATCATTATAAAGGAACACAAGATGACGGTAATGAGTTTTATCTATCTAGAGAAGCGAGTGCTTATAAATCATAATCTAAAAGAATGTCTACAACAGCCTCTTACTTATATTAAAGCACAGTTTGATATGAGCACAAAGAGAGCTATGTGTTTAAAAAGGGCCTTATATGAAAAAAAAATCCTTGAAAAGTTTAATTGGTGGAATCCCAAGCTGCACTAAAACACAATGTAATGTAGCAACATTAAAATAAAAGACTGAACAGTAAGATAATATAACATATTTAATTTACGTAAAAGCAACTTCTTTTGTTCGTACCTTCCTTAACAGGAATGTTATCTCATTGTGTGGATGTTTCATAATTAGAGAGGCTGAAAGATTATGATTAAGGATTTTTACTCTCCAGACAATGACCTAGAGCTATAATGAATCATCACTGCGAGAGTGTGATTTATAATGAGAGTCTTCTTCTGGGTACTCAGGCAACATGGTGCCGCTCTACAGTCCACTTAAATGAATGACCACTTCAAATTAAAAATTACAAGATCAAACAACATCCCAGGTAGAGCTTTGTGAGAAAAAAGCCTTGCGAGATAAGTTCTCTTTGGCATTGGAATATTATAGTGATCCTGTGTCTTAAATACACACGACACATGTGGTAAATACATGGCTGCTGCGTACTTCATCTCTAAGGTAGATTGACCTATTGAGCAACGAGAAGGTGAAGAAGAGGCAGCAAGACGAAGTCAGCAGAGGAAAGCATGTGATCTTACCGCACTTCACACATTGCTCTCCTCATCCAACGGGCACCTTAAGAGTACCTTGAAAGCTCTTACCTTGAAAACCTTATTTGATCACAAACACACACACACACACACACACAAACGTACACGCAAACACACTCTTTTCTTTACTTCTTCCATTACTCACAGTTTCAAATTCAGCTTATTTTATGAGGGTTAAAGCTGCAGTCCGTCGCTTCTGTAGAGAGAATGTTTTGAATTTGTTAAAACTGTCATCATGTCATGGCGGTATGAGACAGATAATCTGTGAAAAGATCGATCTCCTCCACTGCCTCCCAGTGCTGCTACTATCATCTGAAGAAATTCACAGCTCCAGACCAAACACAACCAATCAGAGCCTTGAGACGGGGCTTGGCACCATCGATCAAACTCATGCGCTAATGGCGGAGAATCAACTTACTGTTACAGGAAAACCGTTTAACTGCCATCATTGGTGGCCATGCTAACTAGACTGAGGATTCATAATAGGCTATGCTAGCTGCAGCGTAGCACACATCAAGGAGGAGGATGAGCGATTGATGAGTGGTCAATCAAAATCAGAAGATTTTGATTGACCACTCTCCTCCTGGCTCTGATTGGTTGTTTCTAGTTAGCACTGGGAGAAGGCAGATGACCATTTTTTTCTTTTTTCATAAATCATACCATACAGTCACAATATAGTCTAAAAAAATAGTTACATACTGTAGCTTTAAGCATAACTATGCCTCAATTTGTTCCCCCCCAACTGCTTGGGAGGAGTCAAGTTATTAGCAAGAAGGAGGAGCTTGCACGGCGCACCACTGCTGCAAAGGTTTACCTCAGTGTATTATATCCAAGCTGCATTCTGAATAATTTGCACATGCTGCAGGTCAGTGATTTAATGAGGCAAATCTCTAAAAAGCAGGGTCAGCACAGACAGTCACCACAGAGAAAAAAAAAATATTCCGCAAATTCCTAAAAAGTTGACTTTCAGAGATGAAACGTTTGCTGAAGACACTTTGATGATATTGAAATGACGCCGTGCATCATAAGCTTGTGTTTAAATGATGAATAGTCTTTTAAGTGCAAATATGGGATTAAGTCAGCGTGAGCAGTTTTGACATCAACCCAAAAGTCATATTTGTCATCTTTTTTCCTGTAACAATCTCATGTTGTTTTCATGAGCTGGATTTGTTTCTGCAATATAAACCTTGTGTTTGATGCCAATGAATGCCATTTGAACATGGGCGGGAGATGGAACGAGCGCACTGAGAGATACTGAAAGAGAAAGTGTGCATTTGAATGTTTGTGTGATGATTTTTGGACAGAACATCAAAAACACAGTCGAGCAAAAAAGACAGCTTGTTCTGTTTGCATCATATCTCACACAAACATGCACACACAATGTCTATACACGCACAAAGCCCAGAGCACACACATGGAATGCAGTCACACAAACACGGCAAATCATTCATCCATCTTTTATGCTGGGATGCACAAAACTTCGGCTTCCCTTTGTAAATTACAGCTAATGTGTGTGAGACGAAGAAGCAGGCCGAGCTTACTGAGAACGCAGAAGTAGAAAGAGGAAAAAAAATGAGAGAAATGATATAGGAAAGGACAGGTAGAAAGAAAAAGGGAAGCCCAAAAAGGCTAGATGTTTCTTTTTCCTCGGGTTATATTTAAAGCCCTGCAGGATATGTTTTTTTCCCCCCTCCTTTGTACTTATGTGCTGTCTTTTGAGCAAGCTTTTCCCTTCAAATTTTTGTGACTTTCTAACCAATATTATTCATCCAGAGAGTTCCATTACGACAGAACTGGTCTAAACTGGTTTCTGTCAAGTTGTCTGGTCTAATTTACATTCACATTCCATGTTCGGCATGCCGCAGGTGCTTCCAGCTGCTCGAGAACCAATGCAATATTCTGAATATAAGATAGATACAATTTATCATGTGTTTTGCATTTGTGCCGTTTTAAAACTTCCTCTAAGCAGATTGATGATTCAAAGCGAAAATGATACACTGCACCAAGAAGTGAGAAGCATTCTCACGCTCAAATCTCTGCAGATAACCTAAAAGTTTAGTCTGTCATTTTGATTTTATGCAAAGCCCTTATGAAATTAATTTTGCATTGCTTCTATTAAGCCTTTGTGTCATTGTCACCCTAGATTATTTAAGCTGCACAAGAGTTACTTCCCATTAAAAAAAAAAAAAAATGCTAACGGTCTGTTGCTTAATAAAACTTTGAAGCAAGATCCTGAAGGCACGATATTAACATTTCGAAAGCTTAAGTTTGAAAGCACTAAATAACTTAATAACTTGTGAAAGTAAGAGCATGCAACCCTTCTGACCCCACTGGGGAAAAGGGTGTACAGAAAATGGATGAATGGATGCTATGTAGAGATCTTCTTTTATTTCGTGAATGCTCTTAGAAAACATTTTCAAATCAGACTGTAGTTGTAATGCTTATGGATTTCTTTGTAAAGTAAAACTATTCACCAGAATCAGCTTAACGTCGTTTGTTACTATACAAAGCAAGAACAAAGGAAAATTGTAGAGGAAAAGTGCTGATAACTTGACATTTACCAATAATGCATAATGGCATCAAAATATCATTAGACATTGATGTGATGTTTAACACTACACTTAAAACTATATACAACTGAAACTAGATGTTTCCCCTCTCTGACGTTTAATTTATCGAAATGAATGTTCAGTGTTTTAGAAAGGTTCGCACTACACCAAATCACATCTGTCAAAGGCAACACAAATGAACATAAAATGCTGTTTTTAAATGCTGGAGCTTAATATTAAGGAGGAAAACAATGCAAACCTTCATGGCTCTGTGTGAAAAAGTGATTGACTGCCCCTGCCCACACTTCAGGACCTGGAATGAAAGGGAATGTCCGGCCATCTGTTTGTGACCTCAAGCTGAAACAAACTTGGTCTCTAACCCATCTCTGAATGGCTGGAGAAAAACAGAATGAATGCTTTGCAGTGACCTAGTCAAAGTCTTGACCTGCATTGAGATGCTGGGGCGTGACCACGTGGCAGAATTCAAACAATTCTGCAGAGATGAGTGGGCAGTGGGCCAGGATTACTGTAAAAGACTCAGTGCGAGTTATTGCAAACGCTTGACTGCGTTTTTTGTTGCTAAGGGAGGCACAACCAGGGGCTATCGCTTTTTTACACAAGGACATTTAGCTTTGAATTTTTTTATTTTCTGCAACCTGTAAAATAATATTTTCCCATTATGTGTATGTCTAAGAATGAAAACGGATCATAAATATGAGTGGACAAAACAATTGCATTGATTGAGACAATCTATTTGAAAAAACAAAAAGTAAGTCACTAATATTTCTGTATCATTTCCTTTGGCTATAACATTTAAAATAGTCTGCAAATTCAATATGTATAATATTGTGGATCCTTATTGTCAAATCAAATCTATTTATCTCTTTCTTTTCCTCTTACTTCTCCTGCTACCACTTTCTCAACTTCCCTCTCTTCCTTCCTGAGACTGAGAATTGTGTTATGTCTTGATCTTCTTCACAAACCGACGTATTGCTTACCGTTGCCTGTATTCATATTGATTAAATATTTGAAATCAATTGTTCTGTAAATACTGTATAGCCCTGTTGTATTTCCTGGTAACATTCTCTTTCTTTCAGTGAGCCAGAGTGGCCTTGCTGGTGACGTTTGTCCAGATCCCGGAGTTCCTGAAAATGGCAAAAGGATGGGTTCAGTCTTCCAGTAAGTTCATTTTCTCTTTGCAAACTGAACTTTCAGAGTGGCACGGCTGGAAGATCATTCCAGTCTCCAACATTACACTGGAGTAGACTCCGTGTATTAACCTGAAGTTGGTAATGAAATCATTAAAATGTAAGAAAACAGGTGCTTTGACCACTGGCAGGTAAAATTAATTACTGTTCACTCTGCAATGTTCTGCAGGCAAAATCTACGTCCTGTGCCACTTGCCACCCACGTGAAATTGTTACCACCCACACAAACTAACCAACGGAGACTGAAGTGTTATAAAAATAATCAAGGTTTGCCGGGGACGTGTTGTTGTTAAAGCACTAGCTTTTAGATGTGGGATATGTGATATAACCACCGAGACTTAAAGAACCTTTGATTTAATTTATATTTTTAGCCTTTTAAATCCTCTAAAAAAAAAAAAAAAGATCTGTTGCCTGTTAGTCAGACAAGTCTTTTGATGGTTGATTTGTGTCACCTAAAGAACAGCAAATAATTGTCTGCAATTAACAAACAGATGTAAACAAAGTGGTAAGGTAGGCTTGTCGGGTCGAAGGTGGAGCTCACTTTACTCTGTTACATGAACCCAATTAGCATTCTTATGTTGTCAGGGTCGCATGCTGATCCAAAGTCTGTCTGGCCTCTTATCTCATCACATCTGATTTTGTTCAAAACAACATAAAGCCTAAACTACAGCAGGAGGTTCCGAGAAAGATTCACTGTTTTCTTTTTACACTGTCAGAGTTTTGGTTTCAAGCGGTGCTAGGAGCTAATAAAAACAGACCACACCACTGAGCGTGCCAGTGAACCGGGGCTGTGGTCTGAAGACCGAAGATCAGAGAAGCCTGCTGGCACTGAGCTGAGAAAGAATAACAATTTCACGTCGGTGAAAGCTGAAAAGTTTATTAACATTAATGACAGCAACTATTTGATGCTTTTAAATGGCGCCTCCTTCTTTCAGAGGAGCAGGGAGCAAACTAGATCCTCGAGCAGAGATGATCTTTTATTTCACGTAGCCATGACATTTCAACATTTTCAAATATGAGTGCTCACAAGTTAGAATGAGTAAATAAATTATGACATTGCCGTACATGGAAATATACATTTCCAAAATGTTTAATATACCTTAAAATTGTTCACATTTTGTAACAATTTAGGTTTAAGACTTTAGTGAACTTTTCTGTGATGAACCCCACACAGAGCTCTGTAATATTAAGGTGAAAAAACGGGATTCATGATTTCCAAGTATTTTTTTTTTTTTTTTTACAAATAGATAAAGCGTGTTGCGAGGAGTGTGTCTATTTGTATTCACAGTTAGAGCTTGCAAGTCTTTCAGAGTATGTTCCGACAAGCCTTGCACATCATAAGGCTGAAATTTAATTCAATCAGACTGGATGGAGAGCATCTGTGAACATCAATTTTCAAGTCTTGCCACAGACTCTCAAATAGATTTAAGTCTGAACCTTGACTATTATAGGAATATCCTTTGATCAGAACCATTCCATTGCAGCTCTGGCTCTATTTTTGGAGTCGTTGTCCTGCTGGATTGTAAACTTCAGCCCACTGCTAAGTCATTTGCAGCCTGTGTCAGGTTTCCTTTCATTATTCCCCTGTCAGCTCTGACCAGCTTCTCACCACATGCTGCATGATGCTTGCCCTGACCTCTTCTAACAAGGGGATGGTGTGATTAAGACAATATGCATTGTTAGTTTTTCTCTATTCTTGTTTGCATTAAAATAAAATTCTGATCTCACCCAATCAGAGCACATACCTGCTTCTCCCCTTACGTGGTTTGAGTTAAACTTAACAGGACTTCTTGTGGCTTTGTTTTGACAATTTCCATCCTGTGTTGGATTACACACCTTTTGGTAATCCGGTTGGAAGATTTGTTTACTTGATCTTTGCTGATTAACGCTGTCCTCATCTAGCCTGCCAGTTTCACAGCAAACAGTAAAGAAAAATATTCAATATTGTGGTTAACCATTGAATGTAATTACATTTAATACAGTTAAGATTATGGTAAAATCCTCCTGCTTTGAAGTACTTCTACCAAATAGTGTGAGTTGTTGTAACCAAATGTTCTCCTGAGACATCCTGCTCAAGAGCAACAATTCATATTTCAGTACAGTAGTGACTGAGGACAGCAAAGGCTCCAAGACAAGTCTCTGTGGAGAGAAATTTCAGGCTAAAATCCAGGTCTGCAAACTGTGTGTAGAAGGATTCGCAAAGTGTTTTTGTTTTGTTTTGTTTCGCCTTGACTGGATCCAATGAGTGCTATCCAAATACCGATAACTAAAACACAGAAACAGATCCTACAAAGGCCATTGGATCAAAATTAAATATCTGCCATTTCTTATACGACATGATTTGTAGTACTATTACATATTTATTAGTTTGTAGAAAACTGTCTAGTAACTCTGGGGTATTCAGGCAACCTTGCTTCGATGTGTTCACATGCTGCTTGTGCTGTGCTACAGCCTCAGGTCAAACTCCAGGGCTGCTTTCATGTCCCAGTTCCTCTCTCCAGGGTCCAGTCAAGCAGGGGCCACACACAAAGAACTGCAAGGGAGGGTTCTTATCTGAGAGTCTAGCCACTAAAAAATTGTTTGGCAAATACAGTGAGTTACCCCTTGGTGCTTGTCATCTAATAAGCAAAAATAGACACATTATTTTATTTAGGCAGAAGTGATTGTATAATGATAATCTTTCTTTGCCTTCTGTCCGCTAAACATCAGAAGTAGCTGAGCTACTTTTTTTCACATATGTAAACGAAAGACATTTTATTTGTACTCTATTTCCTGAAATCGTTATCAGGCCAAGCAAAGCTTTTATTGACAATCACATTTTAATCATTTATAAAATTTATTGAGATGCCAGTTAGAGAGGGCATTACTGTATTTTTTGGACTATAAGCCGCTACTGTTTTTCCTACGCTTTGAACCATGCGGCTTGTAGCCCGGTGTGGCTTTTCTGTGGATGTTTCTCCAACCACCAGGGGGCTCTTTAGCAGGAAGTGAATCATTTTAAAGTCAAAATTGTAAATCAAAGAAGAAAGTGCTCATTTTCATTTAGAACAAGCACATGCTAGCAGCAGGCATGGCAGAGAAATGTTTTCAAACTCAAACCCCATCATGGAAACCACACGAAAAAGTTTATATGATGCAGCTTTTAAGCTGAGGGCTGTCGATCTGGCAGTACAGGAGGGAAATAGAGCCGTTGCACGTGAACTCAACCTGAACAAATCCACGGTTCGGCATTGGAGATGCAGAGGTGCGTCCTTATGGAAAACCGAGAGCGGCAGAGAAATCAGCGGCTTATAGCCCGGTGCGGCTTATGTATGTACGTTTCCAGTTTTTATTTTTTTTAGTTTTTTATTTATTTTTTTACTTTCTGGGAGCGGCTTATAGTGAGGTGCTCTATAGTCTGGAAAATAAGGTAAATCCCATGTCCCTGTGTCTCATTTGTCTCATAACACACACTATCGTAAATCATAGCGTGTGTTATGAATTTTTGGTAAAGTGACCGATTGTAGTGCATCATCCGGGTTGAGACATCAAGATTCACACAACAGGTCCCATACAGACTTTCTGGCAGAAATCACGGTGGATCAGGAAAGTGAAGAGACAAAAACCATGACAAGTGGACTGAACAGGATTCAAACAAACAAAAAGAAACCCTTGGAAAAGGTGGTTTGAAACCTCAATCTACCAATGATGGAAAAACGTCCATCTTCCTCACAGTGATTTTGTAAAGCCTGAAATCTCACTCTCTTTCTCACTCTCACATTCCTCACTCTCACACTCCTTTTTAACACGTTGTTGATGTTGTTTCTAGGGTCGGCTCAAGTGTCCAGTTCAGCTGTGATGACAGCTATGTTCTGCATGGATCTAAAAGTATCACTTGTCAACGGGTCACTGACACTCTGGCTGCTTGGAGCGACCACAGACCCATCTGCAGAAGTAAGTTATAACATGATTCTCACTGAAACAAGTTTTTATTTCTTTAGGTGTGTCGCAGATGTCAAAGCTGTTGGCACCAAATTATTCGTACCTCTTGGTAGGTTTAGATTTAACATAATCAAACTACCTATAAAAAGTATCAACACTGGAAGAAAACACATCTGTTTTTATTAACTTTCTTTTTAAATGGCATGTTGTAATCATTTACACCCTTCTTAATAACCAGTGGGAAAATCTTTAATGACAGATCACCAGATTCAAGTCATGGCTCTGGCTCTGGCTAAAGGCTTGCTAATACATTTTGTAGTTAGAAGACAAATGTTAACAATGTTAGAAGATTACCATAGATCTAAATCGGCAAAGAAGTATAAATAGAAATAAACATCTTGTAATGTTTTTGGGTCATTTAATTGTTTTATTAGATATTGTTTCAAATTAAACAAATTAATTTCTGAAAGAGAAAAAATATGTACTAAGCAAAAGAAAGTTTTAAAAAATTCTTAAATGTAATAGTATTAAATGTTATCACCAGAGCAACTTGCAAAAATACCGATAAATCAGTTTAAGCTGCCAAATGCTATGAAATGTATGCAAATGTCAAATACCATGTCTATAAATATCTTCAGCATCAAGGAATCCATTAATTTGCGATATAATTGTAAAAATAAATCTTCCCATTTTATTCTGTTGAAAGCTGTGCTCAGTGTGAAAGAAAATGGCAGCCAAAAGAGGTGCGAACCAACGTGCAAACAGATTAGAAGTTAGTACATTCAGGAGCACTTTGAACATCACAAGCATGCTCTTTACCTGGAGGAACTTTTACTGAGTGCAGTTCATTTTAACAACATTAAATGGTATTTTATTCTGAAGTGACGAGCACTGAATATTGAGAGACTTTTCAGTCAAACTCTCGCTGCTTCGTGCAGAAAACAGCCAAACTGTTATCCACATGAAACCCCACATAAACGGAAAACTTTAGATGTGCTAAAATAATGAAACAATGCCCATACCAATTAAACTTAAAAAGAATGTTGCAAAGAGACAAGTTAGATTTTTTTTTTTTACCAATTTCTAAATGTCAGGCATTACTGGAAAGACCTTAGCAAAAGTACCTGCCTCATCTAAAACTTCTTATTTAAAAAAAAATAATAATAATTAAAGAAGCTTTATAGCACTAATTATAATAACAAAAATATTGACCAGTTATTGTATTTTATATTTAGTAAAAAAAATATATACATACTACAGCAAAGATTATTAGACTGACATTGCAAATAACTTTCTGTAATTTTGGCCCAAGTTTATTTCATATCTTGAAGGCTTTGAGGGCTTCTCGTATCTGAATCTTTTCAATTGTTTTTAATGTGATCAAGATGGAGATAGATTGAGTTTTGCCACTGTAGCTGCTTTACTTTCCTCCTCTGGAACAACTTGAGAGAACTTAACCTTGCTCAAAATCCTATTTCATTCTTTCTGAGAATGTCTGAGTATATTTTGCCAATAGCTGTTGGTTTGGTGACATCAAGCGCTATTCTTTTTCCAAATGATGTATGAAATAATATCCAAAAAGTCCCTATTTGGCCTCATCTGACCAGAATTTTCTCCTGGCATTTTACTGGCTTGTCCATTGTTTCACAGCAAACATAAAGACAAACTTGCAAATGCAACTAAGTTTGGTGCAGTGAATATGCGTAGAGGTTGTTGAATGCATTATTTATTGTTTTATTGGGATCAGTAACTTTGCTGATTCCTCTGTCCAAAATAGTGTAAAGAGTGTCTGACTTGTTTGTGGTAAAACGAAGCTCTTTGCTCTTCCAGCTTATAGTCTCTTTGGTTCATGGTGCATCGCTGAGATGTTTTGAATCATCTGTAACCGTTTTCGTCAGCGCACTTTGCAAGAAAAAGGTTGCAAAGTTCTTGAGAGAGGTCTTTGGTGCTACGCATCATAAAATGCTTTTAGAGCGATATGTTGATGAAACTTATTCCTCAAGAAGATTTTAGACATGATATTACAGTATTTACTTCCCTCACTGTGACCTGACTAGATGATGCTGTTCAAAGTTCAGCTTCGACGAGACAAATCCAAGTTTGAAGAAAGAAAGAAAGTCCTGCAGGGTCCCCATGAAGCAAAGCAGTGCAATCCAAATGTGACATCATACATTTTTAAATGTATTTTTAATAGTTCCTCTGCTGCATTGGAATTACATGCCAATGTCGTTTTTATCAGAATGTAGCCACACAAATAATACATGTAGCTAAAATAATAAATAGTCCTGTTTCTTCAGAGCATAACGTTGCTTATGATAGCGAACATATTGCAGAAAAGCTGCTTTGAATGTTTTGTGATGACTTTGTGTATGATTCTAAGGTAATTCTTCTGAATTGTTTGTTAAACCAGTATATTTTTAAAGCATGTAAAAGTTGTTAATTTAAGCACTCTCAGTGACCATTACCAAAATCCTTGCAGAGGAAAACGATTCGCTGAGCAATCTAATAGCATTTTAATCCTCATTTGCAATGTGCTGTATTACAAATTGTTGCATCTGAAAACCTGTTAAATTGTAAATGGTTATGGTGTTTAGTTTTTATTTGAGATTACAAGTGTTGTATAAATGTATTTCTGAGGAGCCATGAAAAACAATATCGTTTAGCTTTACATGATTTTGTTTATTGACGTGGCAGAGCGATGATGCAAACTGCTCTCATGTTTACTGACAACACCCTGTTAGGTTTATTGCCACGAAATGAAAAGGCAGACGGCTGGTTTTACACACCCAAGTGTTTGAGCACATGCAGTCGCAAACACACTTGCTCTGACAGCAAATGTCCAAGGGATAATGTCACACATCTAATATCTGCAGAAGTATTGGCCTTGAACTGTTGGTGTGTTTGACAGACAGCCAGTCCCTGCGCTCAGACACATACTGTAGGGTCCCTGTCACATCATGTTATGGTGCATGTGTGTACCATTATCTGCATGTGTTTGTGTGTGTGTGCCTGTATTGTGAATATATGACTGTCACTGACCTCGGAAACATGCCTAAAGTCATGATACTGTCTCATCCTGTCAGAAACGATTGAAATGTGGAAAGAAAAAACAAAACAAAAAAAAAAAAATCCAAATTTAGCGTCATCTTAAAACTTTGATGTGAAATGTCTCTGTTTGTTTTTCTTTGTAATTCAGTTAAAATATGATCAAGTAAAATGTTTTTTAAAGGAGACAAACAACTGAAATTTGCATTTCAAATGACCAAAAAGAATAATACATCCATGCATTCATTGATGTATTGTCTTTACCTGTTTATCCGTTTAGTATTGCTTGGTTTGGTGCCGATCTAGAGCAGTCACTGTGGATAACAGATAAAAAAATGCAATATATAAAAGTAGGATTGGTCTATTTTGTAGATTGTCAAAACATTTACAGAATACTAAAGGTGTAAATTCACATTTAAGAAGGAAAGAGAGCAGAGACTACAATATGTGTTTTTGATTTAGTGAATTAAACGGATATGTTGTCCTAGAGCCTATAAAATTATTATGAAAGCCGTAGCAATATATATACCTGCTTTCCTTTGTGGAAAGCAGATGTGATTTTTGTTCATTTATGTCTCAAATTTCTGTAAACTTAACCAGTAATTATTGTTCCTGACCTTTATTTAACTGCTTAGATTTCAGTCACAATAATACCAGAAGAGCCTGATATATTCTGAAAGGGAAACCTGGAGAGTAACAAAAGCCTAAATCAATGGATTAACTGTTAGAGAAAATGGAAAGGCAGAGGTTAAAAAATGTCTTCTGTACACTGGAGCTCTGGTGTATTGTATTATCTGGTGTGATCACTCTTCTGGGATTCAAACCCGTGAGCCTCTCTCGTTTTCTGCTGAGACTTTGCTGTTAATTAGAAGCTGGTTTCCAAGATGAATTGCAATGAATGTGTTTCTGTGTGTCCGTGTAGCTGTGTGTGTCAAAATGTGGTTCAGCTCTCTTTTCTAATTAACAGTCTGATCAGTCATCTGGATTCCTCTCCTCTCTTCCCCCTCTCTCTCTTGGCATTTTCTGTTTCTTTTTTGCCTCCTGGTTTTTCTTACTTATTTCCCTTTTTCATTCCGTTCATTTTCACAGCACCATCTTTCGGTTTCTGTCTGTCTTTATTGTTATCTGAACCTCTGTCCCGTCCGTCAATTTGCTTCTCAAGCCTGGTGTCACTAGTGGGGCGAGTGTCTGTTAGTCTGCTGTAATTTTAATCTGTAATAATTACAATAGTAGACAATAGTTGTGTCATGGTTGCTAATTTAAGTTTCTAAAATGCTAAAAAAATATATGTATTATTTTAAAATACTGCAACTACTGCATTATTTAGTACTTATTCAACTTAAATGGTAAGAATTTTCATACAAGCATTGACAGTTGCTTTTTTTATTTATTCATATTTAACAGTTCTTAATTATTCCCAAACAAGAGATTCTGTGCTTTTCAACTATTAACAACTTCAAAAATATTTTAAAGCAAAAAAAAAAAAAAAAAAAAAAAATTCTTATGATTAAAGAGAAAGAAAATCACAGCGAAACAAAAAATACAGCCTTTCACAGAATTGAATCGTTGTGTTTCTAAGCACAGGACAAACTGATTTTTTTTTTTTTTACCTGATTCTGGATACTATTACTAATAATAAACTAATTTCAACAACCATTTTTTTGTAAAATTTATTTAACCAGCAACATGACAATGTTAGGAATAGTGTAAAAATATATATTTTTTCCAGCATAGCAAGAAAATTAGTGAATAAAATAAATTGTTTACTGAGACTACACATGTGCAGAAACATGTCAATATTTGGAATAAGCATAAGGATACCTTTGGGCTTACTGTTTGTTTGTTTTTTCTCTCATCTTCTTTTTATTGCTTAAGGTTAACTATAATTAGCCTGTGAGTGATTACCTTTATCTCAAATTTCTCTTGTAGCCCGTACCTGTGGCAGTAATCTGAGAGGGCCCAGAGGGGTGATAACATCTCCTAACTACCCTGTTCAGTATGAGAACAATGCACACTGTGTGTGGGTCATCACTGCAATGGACTCTGACAAGGTAAGCAAAATGAATTCATCCTAAATTTATTTGAGTTGCTTTGCTCTAACTCATGTAACACATGGCTCGCCTTACACTAAAGGACCTAGTCAGAGTTCCTCACTTTTCTTTGTTATATGGTTTAAAATCAGCATTCACAGGACATACTGTAAGGCCTACTTCATAACAAACATCTGAAAATTTGATCTTCCACTCTTTTGATGGACTTTGCAGTGCATTTAACATATAATACGATGGATTTCTAAGTCAAACTGTTGAAACCGCTTCTGTCTTGCCTTAATCGTGTTTTCGGTAAATGAGGAATTCAAGGAAATTTAGGTGAACATCAAGTATGCATGCGGCCTTTGACGCACTCTAAAGGTGGCACGTGAGCATTACTTTACTATGTCATCAACACAGAAATGAAAGGCTGAGATGCAATTTACACACGTTGTACAATCCTTCAGAGATGATTAACTTGAATATCCCCAAAGTTTTGATTAGGCAAAAACAAATGAAAATGCAGTTTTACAAGAGGAAGGCAGACGTTTTATTTTTGCACTGAGCTCACTTCCCCTATACCCTGAATTTAGGGTGGTGTTTCTAGCCAAAGCAAACATTACAGAAAATGTTTTCATTAAATGGAAAACCCTGAAAGTCTGTAGCTGTGTGATTTAATGGGGCCAGATGTGACTGAAAAAGATGCTTCAGTCTTTTGGTGGTAAATGGAAATTCGGAGATGCACCAGAGCGCAACAGAAAAGGTAACAAAACAGAGTTCACTTGCATTAATACTTTGAAATCCAGAATCTACCAGCCGTTTTGATAAGCACCTAATCATTTTAAAGAGAAATTTAGCAATTAAAATTAAAAAATAAAAAAATAAAAAAATGCGGCCGGGAATAAAAACATTCAATTATCAAATAGCTTCTGTCATTGTTTTAATTATTTGTGAAAAAATATCCAGATTAAATGCCTTTGTAAGTAAACCGACTCCTTAGTGCAGCAGAAAGTTGAATTGTAAATATGAACGTGTAGAAAAGTCCTGATGGATTCTTGGTGCCTCCTAAACCCAACATATGACATTACAACACCACCCATTATTTTTTTCCCAACGTACTTCTGTGATTTTTACTCTCTCCCTAACTCCCGTTCCTCTGCACTACACTTTTACAATCCAGTTTCTCCCTCTTTGTATTCTTTCTTCCTTTCAACAGCTTTATAATGACAAGCTTGAAAATGGTGAGAGAGGAGAGATGGATAAGTCAAAAAGAAGAATAAGTTGTTACTGAGTTCATTGAAAACTACAGAGAATCTTACAGGAAAGAGAAATAAAAATGCGGCAGAATATTTAGCCAGCTACTTTACATGCGTAGGCATGCTAAGGAAGAGAGGAAAAATGGACTGAATGTCCAGGATGGTACTTGACATGTGACACCCAAGTTTTTTCTAAAGATGGATAGAAATGGAGTCAGCTCACCTCTTAGCCCTCAAAGACTGGGGCTGAGAAATTGTGAGATATAATTGAAGAGAGACCACAGAAAATATAAAAGCCAGGCTGAAGAGTGGAGAGAAAATGACTTTTTGTTCTCCCTACTGTGTCTTTCTGACCTTGGCGGAGAGAAATGGCTCTTCACAAGGTGGCCAAGGGCTTGTGGCAGGCCATGACGCAGTTTCATTGTATTACTGTGCAGATTTATATCATCCACGTTGCTATGAGCCTCTAATGAAGTCTCTAATCTGATTTATACCAGCACCTACCAGTTTACACTGGTGGGTATGCTAGATCGTCTTTCATTGTTTCAGAATTACTGATTAAAGTCCTGTGTTGATGTGTTTCACACCTCATGGCAAAATTTTGTATATTGTGAATCTGCTTGGTGTCAGATGATAACCATGCAATATAATAATATATAATATGCAATATTTTAGATGCACGTTTTTTTTTATTTTATTTTATCTGAGTTTATGGCAGATGTAATGCTTTTTTTTTCTGCTTGTTATATACCTATGCATGTAAGATTTAACCCCTCAAAATACTTACATGTAAGTCAATGGGTCCATTTCAACCTATGAACCAGTAAAGAAACAATTAAAAAGCAACTTAGTCTTTTGAGTATGCAGGTACACTTCCTTTGAACACATACTCAATGTTTTTTTTTGGTTTTTTTTGATAAAATCAAATCATTTTTAAATTATGATACATTTATTTCACAACTTTTCTTGCAAACTTGAAATTCTGCCTTATTATAGCATGCAATTTAAGACATTTTTTACTGATTTCTAATTTAGTCTTCAACATATTTTTTTCATGAGACAAACCACACACTCAGTGCAACCTAGATTGTCTTTCTTCTTGGTATATTGTTGCATGTGCTCCCATCTTAGCCTGCCTTGTTATCGTAAAAGGCTGCTCAATCGCATTTTTCTCAGGTGTTGCTAAACTCTGCTTCCTTTTTTTCTTCAGCCCCTTACCTTCACTAATCTAATCTCAATAAGATTTTTACAGTTACATGTTCACGTTGATAGACGTCAGCCTCTAGTCTTTTTAAAGGAGGCCATCATTAAATGCATTGTTGGAGTGACTTTTGTAGGATATAACAAAAACGGTTTGATGCTTTAAATGCAGTACTTTTCAAAACTAACTTTGAACATTTTGGCATTTTGGCAAATTACTGTTTCAAACTTCAGCGTATTTTATTGTGATCGTATCTGACAGACCAACCCAATTTAGTGCATAATTTACAGGTGGAAGGTATAATAATATAGGATTAAATTCTTTAAACAAATATCAATCAGAAAATTATTTCATCTGCACTTATTTAGAACCCATTGCTCTTGCACCTAATCATAGCATCCAGTACAAATGTTCCTGGTAAAATCTTAGGGTCGGCCCTCTCTAGGCGCCATGTGTGAAATTGAACAGTGCTCCGAGATGCTCAGTGTTTTGGATGTTATTTTATGGCATAATCCTCCTTTTAAACTTCTCAACATATATCAGTCTCTTGTGTATTTTTGCTTGACCTTGATGATGCTGTTAATGCACTACTTTTTCTCATCAAATTTATCTGTCCCTTTAGAAAAGAGTAGGAGATTTGTCTGAGGTATCCTCATGCTATTCTTTTTCAATCAATATTGGTGGACAAACTTAATTTATTCAGCAGTAAAGGCAGAAGAAAGAAACTTATACCAATGTTTAATTTGGTATAAGGAAATTTTGGTTTCCTTATACTTTCAAACACAACTGCAAAGTCTTTTTTTTTTTTTTCTTCCTGGCATATTCTCAAAACAGAAGAGTTGATGCTTTTTATACTCACGGGTACAACCATGTGCAGGGGTGACCTGTGACTAGTTCGAAGAGATTTAAGTTTTGAATAAGATGTTTAATGATGGTAAATGTTTAATCTTAGGTTAGATATAGGGTGTTCAGTCCTAGAGCTACAATCTTTCAGGTTATAGATGCATCCCTCCTTCAACACATCTGGATCAAATGGCTGAATTCCCTCATCAGTATTAAGTCATTCAGCTCTCTAGAGACCTGGTTACGAGTCATTCATTTGATTCAGGTGTGCTGTAGAAGGGAAACTTGTAGAAGTTCCAGGATGTTGGATCTCAAGGACTTGCCTTGTGTTGATGGACGGCTCAACATAAGGGTTTAGTTTTTTGTATTGGAGGATTGATTAAAATGAGTAATAACTATATTCATGCAAACCTTTCTGCCTTTCTATTTTCTCTTATGTGTCAGTCTTTGTTGGTGTGCTGCTCTTCTTTACTCCTGCACTCACAGTGTCTCTGTCAGGTTTTTATTCCAGATGACTTCTTTCATCAATAATGTGTTTCAATGCTGAAAAAACTTTTTTTTTGTTCTTACTGAAGTGTGCATACCTTTTCTTTTTCCTTTTTCTTCTTTATGTAGTTTCACTTTCACGAGTTTAAATGACCAATAAGTAATGCCAGCTGGTGTGTGTAACCTTGTTAAGTTTTGAATAAGAGCTCCTCAATCAATATGGTTTGTTGTTGTCTGTCAGCCTCTCGGCAAAAACACGGTGACTGTGCTTTTATTTTTGTTTCTGCCTCTGTTGTTATTTGTGTACGAGAGGTTGTGTTTGAGTTTATGAATGTTGACTGTGTGTTTTCTGTCTGCCAGCTTAATTGCTAACTGCCAGCGATTGTGAAAAATATGTTGCACGGTGAACTGTCAGCTCTCGGGTCATAGCGAGGAATAACTTGGGTGGGCAGAAGAAAAAGGACTTGACAGCGCGTGTGTACGTGTGTGTTATTGTGTGTGTCAGTCATTTGATTCATCAGTGTAGAGCGGATAATTATTTTGTTCAAATATGAAGCATTCCTGCTGCTCACAGACACACGCACACACACGCACCCTTGAAACGCATCATCTCACATCCCCTTTAAACCTCTAATCATTGCTGTCTTTTTTCTGATGAATACAAATTAGCAACTGCAGAACTGTGTGTGTGTGTGTGCGTGTGTGTGTGTGTGTGTTTGCGTGCGCGCAGGGTTGGTTGGTTATTTTCATGTGAGCATCATTGCTATCACTTCAACATAAGGCCGACACAGTATGTGACATTCAGTCAGATTCCCTTAATTTTTACTTGATGCAGGAAGTGAGGCCAATAAAGAACAATAAAGGCAGCAGCCAGGATGTGTTAAAATCCAGCATAATTCAGTAGCGGTATATTGTTTTGCATCAGTGCTCAAGCTCTTTCATTAAAGAGCAGAAAACGCCCAAAACGCAGTGCTTTGTTATGCATGTCTAAATAGGGCACCTTTCTGCTATTGCATCTGTTTAGCTTATTTATCAAAGCTGTAAACAACATTTAAAGGAACGTTGTGGTTCATTACTATTTTGGTTTTTGTTTGCCTCACTGACCATTCATGAGGCAGTCTTTGCCTTATCTCTAAATTGTACTTTGTATAAGTCACTGCTTAAACCAATTTGGTTTAAATAACTACTTTTATAGATATCAGTAACTACTTAGAAGAGCAAGGAGAAATCGCTAA